TTGGGACTTACTCGTGGGGCTCGGCCGCACTGGCATACCTATACAGACATTTAGGTATGGCCAACAGGGGGGAGTCGGGGGAGAGTGGCGGGCTGCTTGACTCTCATGCAGTCTTGGATATACGAGTACTTCCCCACTTTCCGACCCGCCGGTTCGCGTATGGCCTCTGAGCCTGACAACTTGGCCCGATCAGCCTTGTGGAGGACCCTAGTCCCAGATAACTCAGATAAGCGCCTCAAGTATTTCCGTAGGCAGCTTCACAGACTCACAGCCGCCGAGGTACGTTAAGTTATTTTATTACATTTACTTGAAAGTTATTTAGAATACTCGAATTGATTGAATAAATGTTTTATGTAATTGTGAACAAGTAAACTGGCTACCATACGGCCTCAACCCACATTTGCTGGAGCCTAGGACCCTGTATTCCGGATGCCTTAGGTACCAGGATATTGGGGAGCCGTACATGCCTATGCGTTTCTTGCGTCAGTTGGGCTACGTCCAGACGATCCCTCCCCGCATGGATCGTTCTGTATTTCGTGGTTGGAAGTCTAGGATGGACAGGGTTGAGCATGCAGCGGGCGCTACAGTAGATCACTGGGATCAGTTCCCGCTACTGCATTCTGTACGTTTGTCTGATTTTACTCCCACCACCGCAGATGATCTAGGGGCGGCCCATGAGGACTACCAGCGATGGTATGAGCGTTATTCTCATCCTAGACTCTTGCCCGACAGTCAGGCGGACGACGAGGCTATCCCTGTGCGCCCCAACATCGATTATGTAAGTCGTTTACTAAATTTTAGTTAGTATTCGTTCATTACAATTTTTTTTTTTTATATTTTAAATGTATGTATATATTTTCCTTGTGCTTTGTGTAGTGGGTCGGACGGTCCATGTCCCTTTCATCATATATGCATCGGGAGTTCGCGGCAGTTGCTCCTGATATGGCGGCAATTTATGCAGAAAAATTGGCTCAGTTGAAGTTGGATTTCGACAGAGCGCAGTAGTGATGTAATAAATATATATTTTTTTCTGTTTTATATTTTGTTTTGGATTTTGTAACAAATTATTAGTAGAGTTGTTATTTTTTTTTATTTGTGGTTAGTTAATTTTATTTTTATCTAAACAAAAAATTCTCCCATTATATCACGTGAAACGGTAGACACGGCGATATATCACAATCTATCACTCGTAACGCATGAAAATAAAATTTTGAAAAAAACCGCAGAAATAAGTCGAATATCACAATATATCAAATTCCAGCTGCAGTACGAATGTCAAGCCACAACTGGAACCTGCTCTGGTACTAATACGACCAATCTTCAACCGAAACATCTCGATATTTCTCCCAAAAATAACACAAAGGCGGTAATGGAGAATCAGAACACATATTCACACGAATGAAGTGCGCGCAGGAACCAAGATGACCTATGACGATCTCACAGTCAGGTCGTGTAGCCGTGGATGGTGCGCGGAGCGGGAATACCGTCATACTGGCCATGTTCATATGGTTATCGTTGGGACCATAGCCTAACAACACTACAACTGCATTAAACAGTGTAGCAATAGCAAAGAGGTCGCCCGTAGCATTCATCCAATGCTTCTCGCCACAAGGAACCCCGTCCCATCTTATACGATCGATTGCGACGTCGACCCCATCCTAATAAAATAGAGCGTACAAATGAATGTTGGCTGCAACCTCATTTGCAATATTTCTTCTTGCCACATCCCACTTCTGCTGATCCCTATAAATGTATTTCGCAACCACCCGAAATCCGCAGTTCCTGTCCTGCGTCACATCCAGATAACTCTGTACGTAGCTGTGAACTACGTAGGGAATCCTAGCACGATGTCGGTACTGAAAAAAATCCGTCTCGAAATTATCTATAATATCAGAATTATTTCACGTCCACAATTTAGGTAATTGAATTTACAAACATAATTAGTCATCGTTCAGATAAAAAATAAAATAAAATCACCTGTCGGATCTTGAGACGATGAGCTTGTCGGGGCACACGAAGAAGTTCTTGTACGACCCACCGGACGACCTCTTTCCTTGTAGTCCCACATCGACGGAGCACACGAAGAAGTGCTCTTATGCCCCGACCGACGACCTGTTTCCGTGTATCCCGATTGCGATGGAGCACATGAAGAAGTGCTTTTACGCCCCGCCGTACGGCCTCTTTCACTGTACTCCCATCTCGATAGATCGCGTTTTGTTGAAATTTTCTTCTTGGGCCGACCTCTCGGATTTTCCTTCACTGCAGGTTCTGTGTATCCCTGTTGATCAGGGTGAAGTTGAGAGTCGATGAGATGATTCAGGTACCGTACAGTCGCGGGATCAGCCGCTTCAACCTCCTCGGCAAGCCTCCGAAAATAATCATGATCAGTCCATCCACTCGTCGATGCACTCTGCTGACATGTCCGTACCGAAAATTTAAAGAATTATACAATATGCTCTATGAAAATTTCTATAAATGAAACAATACGTGGAGTTAAAAAAAAATAAAAAAATAAACAAAATTTAGGAGAAAAAAAATGCTGAGCATGATGTTCTATAGATTTATTAATCTCGCAATTATACCTGGCTGAGTCACCTCTAGTGTGCTCCAGAAGCTGTGGATGTCGTCGGTCGTAATATCTCTACCTACAGTGTGTGCCTCCCTTAGCTCACAGGCACAAAGAAGTCCATGAGTGTATTTTAGTGCACAATCGCAGCGCTTCGAAACATCTTTGCCGAAGTCTCGCATGTTCTGAAGCTCATCATTCAATATATCCATAGTGTAATGCGAGACCCGCAGTGTCAACTGCTCGAAAGGGAATCCCCTGTAGCCCGTACTCAGCCTAAGTCTCGAAGTCTCCAGCGTCTCCCTTGTAATACATTACATAACATTCGACCCAATTAAAATTTATAATTAATGCGTTAATAACACAGTCTTACTGTATAATCAATCTCCTTGTCAATCTTCTCCCAAACCGTGTCGAGTGAACCGGTCGACGTGTTAAGCCACCGCTTCAACGTAGCGTGGGAACTCTCCACCGTACACGACGTTGTGTTGCTAAAATGTAATACAGTGTCCCTCCACACTTTGACAAACTTCTCCTTGTGCACTAGCCATGTCTGATCCACATATTCCAGCACACGAGGAAACGCCGCCTATGTAACGGCCATATTAGTTACGGCAGTTTTGTATTTATCCCACGTGTTCGCCTCCACAACCTTCTTCCACTTGCCGTGCGTGAACTTATGCGCGAAGATCTTATTTTTATTTGTGATTGTTGACGTTAATCGATAGATCCTGTCTTCCACATCCTTGTTGATGTGCCACGTACAGAGTAAGTGGGGCGTCGTCGGGAAATTCCTCTTAATAGGAGTAATCAACCCCAACTCCCTGTCACTGACAATGACTGAAGGATGTACATCAGGCCCTATCAGAAGTCTCAACCGCTGTAGGACCCAGTCATAGCTGTACTCGGTCTCGTCTTTGATAATTGCATAAGCAATTAAGAAGTTCTTGTTGCACGGTGTCATTCCAACCATCTCAACCAAAGGCATGTGATACCTGTGCAAATGAAAGCAGCAAGAGAAAAAAACATAGAATCAAAAAACTTACTCAAACATACTATTTTAAGATTCACATTATATTGCTATTTATAACGTAATGTAACATACCTGTTGGTTTTGTACGTGGAATCTATAACGACATACCAGTAATATGTACGGAATAGACTGGCTGCTCCTGGATGCGACATGAACACACGTGTCAACTCTTGTGTGTCCGGGTCAACATCTGTGTAAACTATGTACTCGCTGCCCATAGCCAAATGCAGAAGCTGGCCAGCAACATCTATACCCTCCAGACGGTCTTTTCGCAATTGACCTCTATAGTTATACACTTGTCGGCAAGTAGCGTTGTCCACAGGGTTTTTCTCCTGAATTGCAGCCAAAATTACTCTCGGACTTGCCTGAGCATCAGTCATATCATGGAAAATCTCTTTGGATGAATTGCTGAGTTGACTCATCTGTCGATGACCCTCGAGATGCACAACCAAAGCATGATTATGAAATCCTTTCTCGTCTTCTAAAGGAATCCAGATACTCTAATTTTTGGAATTTGCTTCAAATTTGACTTTTATCAGAAAAGGGCAGCTAGTAAATTTAGTCTTCGAACGTCTCAAAACAACATTCACAAAATTTTCTAGTTTTCCTGCCTTGCCTCTGTAACGTTCCCCTCGATGACACCTCAATGTCCGAACCATTCCATCTTTTTCGTGTCTCGAGATGGCCAATTCGAAATTCCATGTCATTGCAATGTCTTTTGCCCATTCAATAGCTTCCTCATGACTATCAAATAGCTCATCTGTAGCAAAACAAGATCGGTAATCTTCGTCGTCTCCTCCAAAATCTTCGAGTGGCACCTGCAATATGTTACGGTGTATGTTAATAATTTTACAAAATAATGAATTATAACTTCTCTCAAATAATAATAGTAATTTGTAATTTATTATATAATCAATTCTAACTTCTAACGTAATATCAATAAATTTTATGTTATAAGATAATAAATTCATATATATTAATAATTTATACTAATATAAATTTTTCCTATTACATAATTTTATACTATTAATTTAATACTAAATACTAATATTATTTTTTTATAAATACTTTCTATTAGTATATACTAAAAAAATTAATATATTACTATATAANGTCAACAAATTGCATGTAGATGGTCAACTCCCAAACTGAACGTTTACAGCTAAAATGAGTGCTCTAGAGACCCAGAGATAGTCAAGTTCTTTATCAAGAAACTTAAAAAATCCCGAAATAATCAGATGGTGCAACTATATGAATGCAAAATATAAAAAGGAAACAAAAAAGATGTTAATATTTTACATCAAAGGAAAATTAATCGAAGATGACAAAAGCGTAATAGATACTAAAAAAACTCCATACTCTACTATATGATTAGCATAAAAGAGGATAATGTAGTGCTGGTTACCAAAATGTGGCTCTGCTGAGAGCATGAACATAAAACGTGGTCTCGATCGGAACACCACTCTCCACCAGAGTCATAAAAGGAACCCCACTTGGGCGATGAACATGGTGTAGAATGCAGCGCCTCATCGAACCTCTACAATGATCTGATGGCTTTCCTGCTCGGGGAGTCGATGGGAGAGCTCGTGATGTTGCTGATGCACTCCCTGTCGGAGAAGGATTTAGGAACAGACCTATTTTTCACAGCGCCACTTTTTGTGCCAATGAAGCCGTCAATGTTAATTTTGGTCCGCTAAATCAATTTTACTTGTTCCGGTTTCTCTTCATTTGGATTTATATTTGGGGTAGAAAAAATATTCTATGAAAAATGATTCGCATATCTATAATTTGGCTCTCCCTCGCTATAATTTCATCTTACCACTTGAAGCAGATGAACAACAAAATCTTCAATTTTCTTCCACACACGGTGAAATCTGACCATAATATTGAGATGAACATAAGATAGAAAAATGCAATGCAATAACACTTGGAAAGTCTTAGGTACTTACAAAAATCATATTTACCAGAATATTGAACATTCTTGCAAACCTCATGTCATATCACATGCACAAACTTCATTTAATACCCTCAATGCAACATTTGGCAGACCAGCCAATTTGACAAAAGTTTTTAAAAGTTTTTAGAACTTAATCTAAACTGATATTAGATCTACCAATAAATGAAAATAAATCAAATAAAAAGAAGGAATCATCGTGCCAACCAGAAGTGTGAAGCAGCAAGTGAGCACCAGTGAGCAAAAATTATTTGATTTATAGTTGCAGCAATGGGTCGTAAGGAATTTAACAAAAAATAAAAACAAACTACACGAAGTTGTTCCGACAAATATGGCACCCATACACTAATTCTATACCAACGGTACTATTTTGAACAATAATCTACAATGTTCGTGAATAATTTAGGGGAAATCGAGAAAAAATCAGTTGGCATTAAAAATTTGACAACAATTAAAAGAAACCAACATTGGTTTTTTTACCAAAAAAAAATAAATTTAAGGTAACTGGACAAAAAAAAAACAAGAAAAAAAAGTGTGGAAAAAAATCAAAAACTCCCCAGTGTACATACGTTACGTATGTACTTTGAAAAAAAAAAAAATGAATTTTCAAAATACGTTACGTATTTTGAAAATACGTTTTTCAATTAAATTTGTGAAGAAAACGTATTCACTGAATACGAGTTTTTGATTTTTTTCCACTCTTTTTTTTTCTGTCCACTTGTTCTTTTTTTGTTTTTTATATATAAATTCCCCTATTTTTGTGCCCCTCAATCTTACGAGTTTGTGTCCGCCCCTGCTCGATTTCATTATGAAATTGAAATTATATATGTTGCCGGGTCGGTCATATATAGGAATTTAAAAGCTGTCAATATCGATTTTCCATCTAACATAATGACAAAAAACGTAAATGACAAATCTTGTTTGTTGGACAAACTGGATGAGCTTTGTGGGCTTTTCATGCTTATCAATTTCACAAATAGAAGATAAAGGAGAAAAATAAAGGGACTTCTAAATATGAATTTTGACCCCACATTTTTTTCCACCTTTACTTCTCATGTGAACCCTCTCTTTTTTCTTTTTCCTTTTAAACATAAAAAAACCCAAATATTTAGATACATAAATACACACACATTATTAGCTTTTTAACTTTAATTTTCTTCTTTTTTCGTTTTTCTTTTTTCCCACAGAGCTCAGCACACTTTGAATGTACAGACAAGGCAGCAGAAATTCAAAAACAGAAAAGCAGTAGTACCAAAAAAGGTGGGGAAGAGCAAAAAGAAGCCAGAGAATGTGATGAGAGAGAAAAGAGAGAGTGGTAGTGTTGCCTTTTCCATGTCATCTCTGTGGGGTTTAATTATTTTTTATTTTTTTATTTTATTGTTTTGATTGTATATTTGAGAAGGAAAGATTAACTTCAGCCATGTTACATTATATTTTATATTATAATATTTTTTCATTTTGATTCTTTAAATGTTATATCCAAAAATGCAAAATTAATTATAAAGATTAGCAAGTTTGGTTCACTTGACTAAACACTCTCTTACAATTTTGGTTGGCAATTTTATTCCACTAACTAATGTTTTAAAGTAAAACCGGAAAAGAATTTTTTTTTTTTCGGCCATAATTGCTAGTCAAAAAATAAGCTATAGTGAACAAAAAAGCTACGTCCAGGAAATCAATGGTCTTTATTTTTCCCCTCCCCTGACTAGAAAAAGCAGCTATTATTCAACCCAATAAGTAAAAAGTGATTGCAGTTAAATAGCAAACTAAATAGGAAATACTATCTAAATTATTTCTCACCAAAAGTCATCTACTAAGATATTATTTTAAGACCAATCATTCCCGAGCTAATTTTGGAGACGTCTTCAACTCAACGGATTGAGATATAGTGACCGTAAATAATTTTAACAATACATCGTATAATCATTATTATTTACCAAAATATCGAGTATGTCATCATTAATAAAATAGAAATCATCCTTGGTAAACCAAATAAATAATTGATGAGTGCACATGCACGTTTATTATCTTATAGTTTAAGAGATCGCACCAATTTCTAAGATCTAGATTATTTACTTGGTCAGTGTTCAAATAATCTTCTCCTCCATGGTCCACTAAATACATACAAAGTACTGGTGTAATTCATCAGATAAAGAGCAACTAAATCAAAATCACATTAGACTTTTAGCAACATGTTGTTTAATTCAATCTAGACTGTGAATTAATTGTTTATATTTTACAATAAACTAATAGTATGATCTTTGCTTCACAGGGTGAGACCAGGAATAACAGATGCCGNTGGGGGGAAGGGCACAACATAGGTGGAGATGGATTTTCATAAATATTATCTCAACCTTGAGAATCTAAGATTTTTCCCTATCTGAACTTTTGTCCGTGGCAATGTCGCTACTTATGGGACAAGGAATTTCGCTATCTTATGATAGTTAGAGTTGTAAAATAAAGGAACTTATGCTCGCATAAATAAATAAAATGCAAACACACATACGTGACCAAAACACAATTCTCATTCAAAATGGTATTGCCAGAAACTGAAAGCCGAGCTTATACAGTATACCCTAACATATACTTTAGCCATTTACTCTTAAAACAACATCTGAGCTCCAAGAGCTTGGACTTTAGCCATTTACTCTTAGAATAGCACCTGAGCTCTAAGAGCTCAGACTTAAGTCATTTAGTCTTTAAACAAGACCTAAGCTCCATGAGCTCGGACTTAAGCCATTTACTCTTAAAATAGCACCTGAGCTCCAAGAACTTTGACTTAATCCATTTACTCTTAAGACAACACCTAACCTCCAAGAGATCGGACTTGAGCCATTTATCTCAAAATTTTCACAAGCTATGGCAACTCAAACTTTAAAATATAGGCAAAAAAGCACTTCACTAACAAACATATCAAGAACAAAAATATCATTAAGTCATGGCATCTCACATCATCCAGAAAACATAACATTAAAGCAGGTTGTCAATAATAATACATTTTTAGATTCGCCACATTCCAAGGTCGTGGCAAGATCTTTTCCTCCATGTCTTTTAGCTCATATGCTCTTCCGGCTAGTACCCTTTGAACCAAATATGTCCCTTCCCAATTTGGCTCAAACTTTCTAACATGCTTCAACATATCTTCTCTTATCCACAGTAGATCTTCAACCTGTAAACACCATAGCTTGACCTTCTTATAATGAGCCAATTTCATCTTCGGTTTATATTACACAATCCTCATCCATGCTTGCTCATGTACCGCATCAGTTAGGTTAAGAGCTTCCTTTGCCAGGTCATTATTCTCTTCAAGTGTAAAGGCTGATACCCATTGTGAGCTAAGACCGGGCCTCCACTGGCACAACTTCCTCCATTCAGTAGACCATGCTAAATGGCTAGTGTAGTTTTATATGCCCATGATACAATTTTTAGCTCATCCACTCAAGATCCCGAAGCTTTCCTCAATCGGGTCTGCAAGCTCCTCAATATGGTTTGATTTGCAACCTCTGCCTGCCCATTTGTTTGGGGATGAGCTACAGAAGCAAAATGTTGTTGTATGCCCATCACCATACACCAAGCTTGTATTTTTTTTCCCTGTAATTCAGGTCCATTATTTGAGACCAAAGTTTGAGGGATTCTATACCTACAAGAGGTGTTAGTACAAAAAATTCGATGACCTTTCCCCCTACAATCTTAGACATTGCCTCAGCTTCTATCCATTTGCTGAAGTAATCTACAACCACTAGCAAAAACCTTCTCTTACTAGTGCCTTCTCGTAAAGGTCCCACAATGTCCATTTTCCATTGTGCTAACGACATATGAGAGCTCATTAGTACTACCTCCTCCACATGTCGATATATTAGTTGTTTGTGTTGTTGACAATTGATGCACTTCTGCATCAAATCCTTTTCAATAACTCTCATCCTTGGCAAAAAAATATCCAGCCTGTAGTACCTTTTGAACAAATGCTCGAGCTTTAACGTGATCGCAAAAACATCCTTCACGCACCTCTTTTAGCACATACTCGCCATCTGACTCTAACACACATTTCAAATGTGGCCCTATATATGACCTCTTATAGAGCACCCCAAAAACACATAGCTTTTCGACCTATTTTGTCCATACGTAACTCATTCACCTTATCTCCAGCTTTCTCTAACCATTTAACCAAAAGACTTCTTCAGTCTCCCCTTTCTTCAACCTCTACGATTGGGTCATAATACTTGAGCCCATTTGCATTAAGGTAACCGCTCGTGACCTATAGTCCACTAGTCAGGCCATGACCCTTGACAATAGGTTGGTCATGCCTTTTTCTGTTTGCGGTATTTGAATGAGCTCTCATGACTCAAACCCCTTAGCTAGAGAATGCACCTCAATCGAATACCTTTGTATCCTTTCCTCTTTAGCCTCATACTCACCCTTGACTTGTTAAGCCACTAATTGTGAATCCAAATGAATCACCACTTTACTAGCTCTTGCCTCGGCGACTAACTGCATACACTTGAGTAACACTTGATATTCCACCTCATTATTCAAAGATCTAAATGATAATTATTTTGAGAATTCCAAAGGCTCTTCTTAAGGTGTTAATACCGAAATTCCAATACCAGCTCATAACTATGTTGAAGAACCATCCGCATAAACCTCCCACGTACT